AAGGAAAATGAATGAAACAAATGACTGATTCACAAAATAGACCTACATAGTCTCAAATTATATATGAAATTTGATTTTATTCGTATTTTGTATGCATTTGCATCACAAAAATTACTGGCATCAAATTAACCGAATGCGCATCGTCCACTTTTTTGTCTTTGCTAAAAGGTGGTCTATATCTTCACACTTAATTCGCTCCTCTACTAAGGTAATTGATAATTAACCTATATTGCAAGAATGAAAAAATGACTACAAAAATTAAACGAAAATAGAGAATACAATCTTAAATAAAAAACTAATTAATACTCGATGTTGTAAAAAATTAAAAAAAATGTATTGTTACTGTTTATCATGCGGTTTATATGTACAATTGTTTGTATACAATTGATGAAATGATGTCAAAATATGTAAAATATAAAAATTTGTAAAGAATTAACGAACACTGCAACCTATCAAAAAAACCTAATTCGATGACTGTTTTCAGGATTATATTACTGGCAAAATTCCGCCAAATATGAGAGACATTTATTACTTATAACTTACAAGAATTTTCGAAGACCTTTAAGTCATAACTTAATGTAAATAATCAAGTTATAACAACAATTTTTTGAACCCCTCTCATCTAACTATTCCTATGTGAATTCAATTTTTATATGGTAAACAGGTGCAATTTTCAATATTTAATGGTGAAAATTGGTTTATATTAATAAATTGACAAAATCAAAAAAATCAAACTTACCGAATTTGGACTACGTAGGTATATTTTTTTGATGTCACCGCATATGAAAATTTGTTCATGATAATAATTTGATATAAAAGTTAAATGGACTCAATTTGAATCACATGAGTCTATTTCTTGGACTCCATTCCACATAAGATTTCTCATGAATAGTAAGCCCTTCAAAAAAAGTTTCAGCTTTTATATATTATAATGAAAATGGGTTCACAGTAGCAATGCAACAAAACAACTAATGGTAAGGAATTTGGATCACGTAATTTTAATTTTGCCACTTTAACATATATAGGGGTTATTATGAAAGCAAGTCGCTATATAGAGAGCAAGTATAATTTGCTAATTTGTTTTGATGGAACTTGAGAAACTATAAAATTTTTAGACGTTATAAGACGTATGGAGCGTCCTCTAAAGCGCGGAAGCAATCTTCAAAAACCCTTCACCAGTTTCAAATTCCAGACGTACCTAAGCATATCTATTCGTCTGTTCATCTGTACATCTGCTCAATTATGGCAATATCTATGTGGTAAACTTTCTCCAGCATTTGCAAAATAATTTGAGAATGATCTACACTTTTCATAGAACACGCCTACAATACCCCCACCCCCATCCAATAAAAACTGTGAACAACTTTGCTTTGCTTGTTTGTTGCTTGTTATTCATTAAGTACAACATAGACATCATATCAATTTCCTTTTTGTTCTAAAAATGGAAAAATTCAACTCCGCCCAACTAGTATCATAGAATTTTTCCTTTCTGTTAGCCTTTTTTAGTGTAACAGTGACGGACATAAAAAATTCTACCAGAATATAATTTTCTTTTTTGTTAATTTTATTACTTATTTTATTGACTTTTTTTAACTTCGCGGTAAATCGTAACGTAGCAAAGACAACAACAAAAAAGTGTGGCTGCTTTGGTGGATTGTCTTCACTTCGGTAATAAGTCAATTAAATAACACAATAAAGAATGGAATAAAGTTTTGACAACTGTTAACAAACCTTTTTTTAATGAATGCAATAAAAGATCAAATACGACTTTTTATCTGAAAGTTTTGCAATATTAATAATTTTAAAAATCAATCCTATATAATACGTCGGTCAATTATTCTCAAGCTGACGCATTGTACTTGTAAAAAAAATCCAAACGCTAGTCCTTAAGCGACGTTTATCAAAACTATGTGCCGATGACGGCAGTTTTCATTATTTTCAAAATAGTTTTGATGGTAAAAACTACTGTTCAAATTCAACAATAGCTTAAAAGTGTTGTAATATGATAAGTTTTCTCTGTTGCACACAATAATCGTTCGGCGGTTTGTTGATTTTAATCGAAGTCATATGCACATCGGAGATATTTAATCTAATAAAACACTTAAAAAATGAAAACAAAGCTTCAGAGCAGTCTTCGCCATTTTGAAGTAAAAATAAAAATATATGATCGTAGTAACGTAACATATAGTGCACAGTACAATAAAATAAATTTTATCGCTATGAAGAGCCCATGCGATTGAATTTCTAATGGTCGCAGATATCCGCCATACAAAGGATCATTTTTCCGTATTTTACCTACCTATGCATCTATGTATACATATAGTTTTTAATATCGATGTTCACTTGGGCTTGTTTATTTGGGAAAATCAATTATTTGGAATGAACTGGATTTGGGATTTCCGTAACAATATCTTATATATATGTGGTTTATGTGGCAATTAAATGAAATGCTTTCATCGCTTTTTTAACATAATACAGAATAACTATAGAACTATAATACTGGATAGGCGTGCTCAATTTTTTTCTATTTTTTTACGAGTACTATAGCATCGCCCATAAAATGTGCGTTCAATTTTTTTTTACATTTATCGGTTTTAGTTTATGAGTAATGAGCAAAAAATTAATTTTTTAATCCTTTTGAGAAAAGATATGTTGTCAGTTTACGTTGTATTGTGGGCATGTCCTTTGGCCAATTTGACCCATTTTCAATACCAATCTGCGTACAAGAGCTTCTAATGTTTCTGCCATTGTTGAAGTCGATAGCTTCATTTTTGATGTTATGTATCTTTTAGATATTCTCCTGGCCGCAAAAATGAAGCTGATATGAAATAAAAAATTCGAACATATATTCTATGGGGTCTATGTATGTTCTAATACCTCCAAAAAAATGGGAAAAGTAGGCAACATCTACTCAATTCTATAGTGTGTCATAAATTAATTTTTTCTTTTAAATCTTTATAACGCATAGAAACAAGCTTCAAAAACCCCATTAAGTATATAAACTCTTCGCCCGTACCAAATTCGGAATTCACCTGAACGTATCCGTCCGTTTATATGTTCACCAGTTTGTCTGCGCAACTGTATACTAGTTATGATATACGTTCTACCGTTCAAAGAAATTACTATTTCGGCTGCAAACTTTAAAAAGGAATTTGAGAATAACCCAAACCTAGCCTCGCCCACCCAATACTGCGAAATATAAAAAATTTAGTTCTTTTCCTATTTTTTTTAGGAGCATGGTGATGCGAGTTAGCAGAACTTTGCCGCATAAATGGCAGGAAGTTCAAATCGTAAATTTTGGAACAAAAAAACGCATGTATTTCTTTTTTTTACACGAATAAGTTGAATTCACGTAAAAAGAACTATTAATTATTCAGAGCAGTTACATAATTAAGATCAAAGTGACTGAATATGAATTTCTTCGAATATTTTATATTATAACTTTATTTTTCTTAATGTAAAACTGTCTGAAGAAAAGATTAAAGATCATTAACAAAAAAAATTATCTTCCACATCCCAAATTTACATAATTTACTTAAAACAATTCATGCAAAAAAATATGCGAATGCCGAACTTTGAAATTCAATGTTCAATTATTCTTGAGGCATTGAATTATTTGCTTTAAATGGTTGATAAAGCCGGTAGCCGGTAACCATAAAACACATATAGTTTTTGTTTACATTTTTTCTTTTCTTTTTTTTTTTAGTTAATTCGTTTAATTTTATTTATTGTTTTTACAAGTTTTGTCTATATTTAAATTGAATAGTAAATAATAATCATTGGTTTCGTTGTCCGCCCTGCTTTCATTTTCTTTTTGCGCTATGTGTTGTGATGGCTCGCATCCAAAAATTGATATTTACATATACATGTGCATTTCATTTAAATGAACCTAAAATCGTCGATCTTCTTTTTAATGTACAGAATGACGTGCATTTTTTTGTTTATGTATACATTTTATTATAAACGAGCGAAAACTAAATATATATATATATATATATATATGCTTTTTTCAACCCCTTACCGAAAGATGAGGAGTATGTTCATTTTGTCAAAACGTTTGCAACGCCCAAAAGAAAGCATCAGCATATATATATATATATATATATATATATATATATATTCTTGATCAGCATCAAATTCTAAATCGATTTAACCATGGTCGTCTATCCGTTTGTGTAATGTCTGTTATAAACATGCGCCTGACCGCAAAAATAAGCTATCGACTTCAACTATTGCAAAACCGTTGGAAACGTTCTTGTACGCAGGTTGGCATTGAAAATGGGTCAAATTGGTCGAAGGACATGCCCGCAATACAGCGTAAACTGACAACATATCTTTTTCGAAGAGGATTAAAAAATTAGTAAGTGTACGAAAATTTGAACATACATTCTATGGGCGATGCTCTATTACTCGTAAAATTCAGCACGCCTACCCAATATTACGGTGATCAAAATCTAGTTTTTTTTCAATGCTTTTATAAGGCAAAGTAATAAGCTTCAATAAGCCCATAAAGTATGTACATCCTTGGCCAATCTCAAACCTGGAATGTGCCTGAACTTGCCCGTCTGTTCGTCAGTTCATCTGCCCGCTTGCGAAACTGTCTAGTATTTGTGGTAAAGATTCTGCCGTTAGCGAATATGCGTATATTGCCTACAAAGTTGAAAAAGAATTCAGAAATGACTCAAACTTTTCCAAGGTCACGCCTACAAATCCCATGCGCCTATGCGCCAAAAACTTTTACTTTGAAAATAGAAAAAAATTGGTTGGGACCACTCCATATTATAGAGCATGAAAATTTATTTCTTTAACTTTTTTTGTCTTTTTTGGGATAATGGTGATAGGTATAAAAGATTCGGACGCGACCGAATATAATTTTCATACACTTTTTACATTTGTTTTCGTTTTTATTTTAGTTGAGAGAATTCTTCTGCAAGAGTCAGAAAAAATTTATAGTTTAATAATTGTTATGGCTGATCCGTTAGTTATGGTTTTCGTTTCAGAAAATTAGAGCCTCTTAAAACAATTGTTTCGCTGTTGGTTTCTGTTTAATGAACGAAGCCGACGACATACCATTAACCCAGAGTACGCGTAGCAGCGCACCGATCGGCAATAATTGCAGTTTAAAATCGATAATACCAGCTCTCGGGATGTCATCATGTAGAGGCAACGCAGAAGCATTTGCACGGCATCTATCATCCAAGCTGCGAACCTTAGGCTCTCAGGTAAGCTGCAAATATTTCAGTATTTTTTTTTTTATCAAATATTACATTGCAATAATCTGTAAATTTTTAGGCTGATGAGTATTGTTTAGATGTATCGGATGAAAGTTTCACAAATGGTGATGCATCAACCTCTACTAACACTTGGATATCTCAGGATTATTTAAAGACTGCTCAGCATAGACCAGTAACCGAAATGCAGCCATTGCGTCATGATAATGGATCGTTTTTCGATTTTCATTGTGAACTTGAAAGTCCAGGCAGCCCTGTGAATGAATGTGAATATTTGCGTTTAATAGAATCTAACACTAGTTCAACTTATAACTCAGCCAATACGTCAGATTATAGTTGTGATTCATTGGCTGGTAGCCAACGCCCGTCTTTTGATATCAGATCTCAACTAGATTTAACTTTAGCGGATTCAACGCAAGAATCGCAAAATAGTTCAGAGAAAAGACTAAATAACGGTGTTGAAGGACCAGGACAGTTTGCAAACAATCTTTCAGTAGATGATGACTTTAACACTACACTGTCCATTGACGGGCCCGATATACCGGATTATGCCGTTAATAAAAGTATATTACAAGAACTGCAAAAGTATAGTGAAATCATTACCGATAATAGCCCAAATAATGACTATCACGACGATGGAAGCGACCGACTGTCAGCAATGCAAATATTAATAAACGGTTACGGTTATTGTAATAAAGAACTTTTGGATATTAATAAGGAGAAAGATACAGAAGATTTAGACTCGAACAATAATGAAGCGACTAGCTCGATGTCAGTAAATTTAGGAATACATTCAGTAGCTACAACGAATCTTTCACCCTCATCTTTGTACATCACCACCACCGATGATGAGGACGATTGCCGTCCTCAAGCAGTTCGACGTTGTTCTTCATTGAAAACTGGCAAAACACCGCCCGGAACGCCAAGCCGCAAGAAAATTGTTCGCTTTGCGGATGCGCTAGGTTTAGATTTGGCCGACATTAAGACATTTCTAGATGAAATACCCACCATACCAAAGTCAGCTTTTGACGATCTTGAGATAATAGAGAATGAAACGCCCATGCAATTTGGACCTAGATCAGAAAAAATGTTAATACCATTATTTCAGCAACCAGGCGGTTTGTCGACCTTCCTTGATTTGGTGCGCGAGAAATTAGTTGTTTTGGAAAATGCTGCGGTCACTGATAGCATTAATCATACTATTACCGGATTTATACGAGTACGTAATTTGGATTTTCACAAATCGGTTCATATACGTTACACGCTGGACGCTTGGCGTAGTTATGCTGACTTACAATGTAATTACGTTGAAAATTCATGCGATGGCTTCTCTGATAAATTTACTTTTACGCTGTTTGGCAATTCGTTGCATATCGGTCAACGACTTGAATTTGCTGTACGTTTCCAATGCAAAGGTCACCAACATTGGGATAATAATTATGGTATAAATTATTGTTTTCAATGTTTGCCCAGCTCGACTGCTGTTATACATAACATTACTTCGCCATTACTTCCTTCACAACAATCGAATAACATATACGGAATTTTAAGTCATACAATAAGCGAGGCGTGGTGTAGTTCTTTTTATTAATCAAAAGAGAGACCAAATCAAATGCTATAATTGCGGTCAAAAGGAGACCGATATAAAGAATAAAAAAATTTATTGAAAAATTAACATTAGTAAGAAAACAAAAAACCAAAATTACTCAGGAAACTTTTATAAAAAATATTATATTTACAAGACTGCGATTATGGCATTGAATCTAAATGTGTAAATTTATAGTTTGCATATAAAAGTTATTTCAGAAAAGTAGAATTTCTTTTATGCTAACACTCGCGCGCTTATAAAGAATGAAAAAATTTAGATATTGCTTTAGGCAAAGAAAACTTTTCATTATTATTGAATGTAGTTCAGCATAATTCAATTATAATTCCGCAAGCATTCAATTCATTTATTTAGGATAACTCACAGTACAGGCCTACAGGGCATCGAAGGAATCCAATCACTTAAATTTTCAACTCAGTACCAGTGCCACAATGTCATTAGAAAAATACATGTAGAAAACAGAAAAAAAAAATTATGATTATTAGATTTATTTACAAACGAAATGTAAAATTTATTACAATCAAATGATGGTAGAACGATTTGTGTAATTTTTTTTATTTGTAATTATTTTGATTTACTTAATTTTTTTGTATGAATTTTTTTTTTTTTTTTTGATAGTTAATCGTTTTGTCTTATATATTTTACAATTGATTATTTATTAATTTAATTGCGCAAAGTTTATGTATCTTTAATTTTATATATGCGTACACACGCACTACGAAGCAAAGATTAGTGCCTAATGGCAATGCTATATCAATACATAATCTGTATAATTTGATCTCAAAGTGATTTACTTATGCTACAATCGATGAAATTAATTAAACAGAAAATCGGTCAAAAATATTATGCGTCTTGTAGAGTCTACGGGAAATATTCTTGCAAGCATTCGAACACTCTGCTGAACTAAAAATTAAGGGGCTATAACCAGCAAGAAACCTTTCAAGAAGGTCACTAAACGTCTTTCGGTTTTCCATCTATAAATTCTTCTCCTTAAATCTTATGAATTCAAAAATTCCATATGAGTAGCCGAGCAGTTAATAATAATGTCAATATTCATGGGTTCAAATCTTAATGCGGTAGAATTTTCTGTGGGCGTTGGTATAATGAACGCTTAGTCGGTAAAGGCATAACACTTATCGATTTGGCAGATATCCACAAGGCTGCGGCCATCACCTCCCTCACATCTTTTTCTTTTCCCACTCGTTTCTGACCTCCATCGTTTTACATGGATAGGTGGCATCCCGTAAGTAAATTGGTCATGTTATAAAAAAAAAGCATAACAAGTTTTCTTCCTCATGTATATTGCCCAAAGACGTACTGAGTGACACATCTTAAATGAATATTATTTTCGCGCTAATATTTCAACAAATATTCGTCAAGTTCCGTGACCTATGATATACAAAGTTTAACCACCATATTGTGACTATGGTACGAAACAGAAATGTATTTTTTAAAATTATTTTTGAACGGAATCTCTCCAAGAAAAGAAAACAATGTTTGCAATAGAATGCCGTAAGTGTAGCGATTGTCTGTGTAGCGGGAATTTTGATCGTTAAGATGTTTTCTACTCATCTAGTCACTATTAATATAGATCATGTCTAGTAGGCATTTAATGACTGGGCATAACGTCGACAGTGATTAGTGAATTGTTTCGATTCATTTCGGTTTTTAAAATTATTCAATATTTTGAGTAATATCTCACATATATAAATTACCTTGCACACACAAATGGATGTTAATTTAATAAGAAGAGCTATTATCAGGTAGTTAAAATCATAAGCCACAATTGGGGATGAAATTATATTCAGATAGGCATCTGCTGATTGACATTCAAAATGCATTTTGAAAATAAAAATGAAAGTAATCAAAAATTACGCATTAGTCACTTAGTTATATACTCGTATACTCGTTAAACGCAGAGTATGTGTAATATCAAATTAGGTTGTAATGAAACAACTTAACAAAATGACAAAAAAAGATATTCTAAGATACTTTATAATTTCAAATGCACCTTCATAACGATGGAATTTGATGGTGCAATCCGCCAAGCAGAGATGAACCATAGATGGATCATAATGTATTCGTCATACACAATTTATTTGATAATTAATTAATTATGGCTTCTTAATGCGTGTGTACTCTTTAACTTTTTTTAATAAATATTTTGTTTTTTTCTTTTCATAAATAAATAATAAAAACGTAGTAAATAAATGGTACACTCTATTGAGTTTCTTTGCATTTTTATTTTGTTTTAATTTTATTATTTACTTCAACTTTTTTGTGGACCGCCTCGCGAAACATGTGTAAATACCGTTTGTTAGGGAACTCAATGAAATATACTGTAACGAAACTACCTCCTGTACCTCTATACCAGTACTCTTTGCCAAAGATAACAATTGTTGAAAAAAAAAAGACAAGATTGTTCTAATACCCATCATGTTTTTGATAGAGTGTAAAGATAATTGTTCTATTATTATTTTATTATAAACATTCGAATATCAGCGAAAACCGCCCGTAGTACTTATATTCATTCTATTTCGGTAATGTGCATTAAAATGTAAGCTATCCTGGTGAGCTTTAACACTTAAACTTTACTAAATAACTACAATTATTTAGTTATCCCAATTTTCTCTTGCACGCGTAATCATGGTTTAAGACGATCCACCTGATACACACATGACGTTGAAAAACTTTCTTGATTTTATATAAATTTTTTTTTTATTTTACATATGTTTTTTTGGAATTTTGAAACGTTTTCTGGTGTCACGTTGGTGATGGGTTTAACAAAATCGTGACATTGACTGAAAAAATTCTCAGCGTTAAACATAAAAAATGTTAGCGTTTAAAGGGTTACACTATGTACACATATATATATATATATATTTTATTTATACGTTATCTCAAATTTATTGAATAAAATTTTAACTTTAAAAATGAAAGACCTCTCAATAGACCAATTTCAATATCAGTAGAAGTGAGAAATTTAAAAAAAAAAAAATGGGCGATAAAATTTATAATAATTGATTACCTGGGAATAACAATCATCTACAATGCAGATTCAATTTCATATTCAACTATAGGCGTTTTTATCTATATCACCATTTTCGGCGTCATTCGAAACTTTGGCTGGATAGTGTAAGCGTCAAATATCGGTTTGAACTGATGGAATAGATACTCAGTTTCTGAGAATGTCCTTTAAACGATAAACCTCGATCATCATACTACTACTTATTGATTGCTTTCTAAAGCCGTACCAGTCAAAAAGTTGATTATTACGAAAGTAATTATAACGATTGATACGCGAATAAATACAAGTCGAAAACAAAGGCATATCCTGAGATATTATTTTTCGCTCGGTTGCAGAGGTCAACTATTGGTTACTATTTTTCAATATTCTGGAAACGAAAGTGTTGTGTAAACCATTAGTTATGATATTCGGAGATTCTTCGAATATAATTACGAAAAGTTTGCGTATGGTTAACTTCGTAATCATTTTATAGCCGTGAGAGAAATTCCATTGTTATAGTCAAGGATTTTTGTATAAAAGCTTTACCAACCCTTTTGTTGGCTGAGTTATGGCAACTAATGTCATTTATTAATAGTTAAGAAGTTATAAGTTATGGGAGAAAGAAGGTAGACGACCTTAGGCTGGGCGAATAGCAGAATTGTGCTTTTCGGTATCTTTGGATACCCTTGTCAAAAGTACAAGCGAATTATACGTAATGGATCGAGGCGATTTAACGTTGGACAAACAAAAGCGCGGGTATGAGAGCAGTTATTTGTTCGGTGATGTATCGTTATGAATTGTCATTAGTTTGATGACGTTTACAATACCGGTGGACTATCTTATCACCTTATCGCACGTTTAATGAAGCTAATATTTATTTAATAAATCAATTTGACTTTTGCGATATGTTTCCATAAACAAAAAATTGTTAAGCTCTACTTGCAATGGACTTATGAGCAGCTTAGTTGTTTCAATATATCCACAAGAATGTGTTGTATAATATTTAAATACGCAACGCTACAATCCCAAAAAATATCCATAATAAACTAAACTGTTTCAGTTTATTTTCATTGCATAACCTAGGTAACCATTTTCGATTAGATCAATAACTTAATCCTTTACACTAATCTTAGCAAACAGTCTTAAAAAGAATTGTTCAGCCATCTATCCTATTACTAAATAAACAAATATAAATTTGCAAAAAATGGAAGTTATGGAAGAAGGAAATCTTATGGACCGAGTGCCTATTTTATTGCAAAGAGATCTCCAATACTATCAGGTGAATGAAGGCTTTCAGTTTGTCTAATATTTTTTGGTTTTTTAATTTACTTATTTATTTATTTACTTAATTATGAGAAAAACGTCTACAGACTCATCAAAGAGTTTTACAAGAACCCATTTGTTTGGGTGTAGTTGGTGGTAAATTAGATTTTCCCCGCTATGCGTCATTCGCAGCCATCAAGATTATACTCTGGTGGGAAGATGAATATTTTGCTTCTTATCGGAAGCATTCTGGTCTACTGCATACGGAGAAACAATTGGCTGAAGCAGACATTGTAAGTGCAAAAACAAAAAAAATTATTTAAATATTTTGTGAAAATTCCCTTGTTAGTCAGCAGTGATAGTTAAAAATTCCGATCCGGATAAATTTGTTATCTTAGTTACAAAATCAGCAGATTTATTATTGGAACATCTACATATACTTTCGCAAGAGTCCTTAGATCACGCCGACCTGTCGGTACTGACAGCTACTATCGGAGCCGCCGCTCTAATTAGAAATTGCCTAAATGTCTATTTGCAAGCGGCCACAACTAAAATCTATCCACCTAAGGGAAATGACAAGGGCGGCGCATTAAAGATCTCTCTTAAGCAATATTCGCAAATGTCTGAAGCTTTGGCTGAACGTCTATTGGATTTACATTGCCGGCTGTTACTCTTGTACATTCTTCAAGATGCCGATGCGTTGCATTGGGAAGATAGAGAACCGTTTTTCGAATCTGAACGTGGCTCGTACATCATACAAATGTGGTGGTTATATATATATGGCACTAAAGATGATCTCTGGAATTCGGTACCTCCGAAGATGGCCCAACGAATTTTCAGTGGCATGTTAAATGATACGTTGAGTGTATTAACGGTACGTTATTCGCAAATTGTTACTAGTCATGCCCGCGCTCAATTGCATTTAGTAGATATTTGCAATCTATTGTTTTGTGTCACTGAACTATTGCCGCACGTATGCGAAAGCGGAGAAGCTTATATAGGTAACTATTAAGACTGTTGTATAATGAAAATTGAAACATTGTGTTAATAACGAACTCAAGGATTGAAATCTTATATCCATCACTAGCAGAATACTGTTCGTACCCAAATTCCAACCCTCGTACACATAAAGACGCTGAACAAATCCCTAAATTATTTGCAAGCGCATCATGCCGTCCGTGCGATCTGATTCCTGTAAAAAAAATGTTCAACTGATTTGATTTTAATAGTCACATAATAACAAAGAACTAATCTTGCAATTGTTTTTCCGCTCGCATATATATCACATATGTGTTACGTACTTATGACGTATACTAACTGAACTCTGAAATATAGATCGATATTTTGAGAAATTACTCGTCGAGATTCATAATATATGCAAGGTATAGTAACATTTCAGTACCAGGTATGGAAATTAGTTTGCGTAATTTTTGATTAAGACATTCTTCATTTGATAACGGTTAAATGTCATCTACACCAGCACACACAAGTCTTTAGCAAATAGAGTAATAGATGCCAAACTTCACGTTAACCAAATTTTCAATACACTCGCAGTTATGTGAGATAAGAAACACTATAAGTGGGATGGCATTAATGTGCCGCGTGTAGTAAATACCAGAGAATTATTTTTCAAACTCAAATGTCAATTAAATGTTAAGTCTCATTATGTATTAAAAACACGTAATGAATCCAGTTAAGTCAGCATACAGTTTATATCTTGGTGATGAATATTCGAGATTCGCTTTAAGGCGATGATAATTTTCTTTGTTCTTTTTTTTTGTTTTCTTTTACTAATAAGTTTTATAGAGCAAATTGCATCTAATTAACACACACATATATGTTTATGTATACGCATATACATGTGCATAGATGTATGTACATAGGTACATATGCGTATGTGTATGGGCGCGTACAAATGTATACATATTTCTCAGGCTTACAGCTAACGAACCAAAGTGTCATCATACGCGATATACATGCCAAGTGTCGTGAACTCTTTTACTGCCTTCTGTTACGTGGTGCACCACTCGGAGTGCTCTCAAAGGTTTGTTTTATTAAACCATATAACCGTTTTAATGCACATACATACATGCAATAAAAGAGGGGTAAACAGTTGAAAAATCTGTTCTTTAAATCTATAATTACAACTACAGTTCATATAAAAGCCTTCAATATCAATGTGCATTACACTAACATGCCGGAGAACCTTAATCGCGTATATATAAACTTTTATTTAAATCACGGATCAGTAAATTTGCTTAACATTACCTGAAGCAGTGCTCTAAGATAGATGCGGTACCAAGCTTATTTAAACTGTGATCTCATAAATTTTCTAATGAGATAAATTTTCGAGATAAGAATATTTTCTTTTTAATTTTATTAATTGAATATCGTTTTTAATAGTTACTTCCGTCCTACAATAGAAACAAAATTATGTTAATTCGTCAACTCCTACTTATCTCCAGCTAACTGTTCAATGTCAATGAAACGCTATTGCTATTCGAACTGGATCAATTGTTCGATTTTTGAAATTGCATAAATTTATGATTATGGATTTATCTGCTGCCAAGATTTTTGTGAAGAATGTTTTTGTATATTCGTTTAATATATAAATAAACAAGAATTTTTACAAAATCAAACAATTGATCAAAACTGTTATGAATACATATATATTTATTTAAATAATATGAGGAGAACTCATTCTAATCGATATTAGTAAAAATGCTTATACAAGCACTTGCAGGTAAAGTAAGATAAACTTTATATCAACTGTTATATGTACTTTTTTCTATATGAACTGACTTATGAACATGAATCTATTGCATGCTTTATATTACGTCCGCATGTGTAGATAAGAATCGCGACTGCCAAGTGCGTTTTCGCTGGTTCAAATTCCAGTCCGGTAAAGTTTAGTTCTCTATAGTGTTATAGTGAGTAGTCGCTCCATAACGGTATAAAACATTTACCGACTGAGGATATACATACTGGGTTGTGGCCACCACCTCCTTGTTTCTTTCTTTCTCTTTTCTCCCTTTTTTTTTAGTCGCGAACGTGTTACGCTACCGTTATGTTATATTCTATTGATCACGCTAAACATTGATTTTGCGTTCTTTTGCGCCCAAGATACATATCGTTATGTGTTGCCCAAAATTGAGTTAAATATTAAAAATTAATTATTCTGAACCTCTCCAATGCGAAAATTTGCATATGTTTGGCATAGTGAAGCACGTTCATTAAAACACAATTCTCGTTGTTGACATTAATGAACAGTAATTAAAAATTTCAAGTCTAATGATTTTCTTAAAATATTTTCACAATTAACCAACACATCCTAACCTCACTTTATCAGAACGCGAAATTTATTTAGTAAAGAAACATTCTCATGAAAAACAATTCGATTATAATATCTTTATTGAATAATTTTAAGAATTGACAATAGCTGAACAGTCGGATCTATATCTGATATTTGAATAATGAAATACCATTAGGTTTTTCGCAAAGGACTCGAAAATATGGAAATGTTTTCCTCGCGTCATGGTTTACCCAGCGCTTGGATTATGTTTTCCTTGCCTCGACTATTTTCGAAAGATCAATCACGTCAATGGGTAACTGAATTTTCGGATTTGAATTCTCATACAGCCATTTATTTAGAATTAAAAGTGCTACTATCTTCCCCTGAGGCTGACTGGTCGTTTCTAGTAAAGGTAAATAGTGTGTAGTGAAGATCATAAGAGAAGAATATATATAGGAAAAATATTTCTGTGTATTTATTTATCATTCAGGTTTTATTAATGCGTGGTGCTTACCTGAGTGGCCTTATACTGCGGCATTTGCTGAGATATTTACCGTCATCAGAAAATTTTAAAAATGTAGCGCAAACATCGTTTACAGAAAACCCTGAAAAACCTGAGAAATGTAAAGGTTTCTTATGTCGCGGTGAATGTTTTAATGTCTCAGAGCATACAGCCAGCGACATTGGTAAATCCTATATAATAATTCGGAGTAGTTCTAACAATATTTCATAAGTATTTTGTAGATCCGGTGGGCCAATCGAATTATCAAATTGTTTTATCTTTAACATATCTAATTGTGGCCATAGGTAGAGCCTTAGATATTAAAACTTGTTTAATAAAGCCTTTAGAAGAGGCGGGAGAAACAGGTTGGAGTAATTGTTTGGATAAAAGACAAGTAATGCATAAATCTACTTTTGAAGAAGAAAACTGCGCATATATCAATGAATTCATTTTAGGTTTGGAACCAAAAGCGCCCTCCCTGGCTGGAAGCTATTATGCATTTCGTTTACCCTGTGCTAGACTGTGTAGTGGAAATGCTAATCAATGCTGTGGAAGCAGGTGCCACTATGTATCAGGCCATGTCCTTGGCTTTGACTTGCATTTCGGAAATGTGGGATTGTTTACCAGATGGCCTTTATAAAGTTACCTCACTTTTACAAGACGTAATACCTGTTTCCACCAGGCCCTTAAGTAGAGCTAGTTATTTATAGCCTCACATCATCATAATCGTATTGATTTTCTTTAAATTTTCAGGTGATTCTGTACTTTTACAGGTTATATTTGCCGCCCTCTATACTGAACTTGTTAAGAGAGCCGAGAAATATGAGAAAAATTCAAATGATGTAAAAGCCGCCTTATCATATACCATATCAGAGGCGATATGTTCAATTGATGAAGATGATAAACATACCGATCAAATTGAATTGTTCTTGAAACAAGCTAAAGATAGCATTATCTTAGAGTCATATGCAGGTTCCGGTAGGGGTGCTACCGATGGTGGTGGATTAAGTGCAGTTAGTACCGTTAAAATCGATGATATCGGCACGGCAGACTCGGAACGATTAAGTCATAGCCCACCAGCGAATTATGCCATGGAATTAGATGTAAGCATAACTGAATATATAGCAGAGGTCCTAAGTAGTGACATTTTGACTACGGATATAGGCAGGCAAGCTTTGAAAGTAAGTGTAAATTTTACTGCTTTGCTTTTTCCACAATTGTACACTTTCCAAAAATTCTAAATCGTAAATGCAAGAAAATTTGAAATTAAACTTCTTTAAAATTAAGCGGAAAATATTTTTATCAACAAAATACAATTTAGTGACTAAGTAGTAATCAATAATTAGTTATTTGAAGACAACATATTTATATCCATTATTTAAAAAACAAGAAAAGGTAATGTGTCCATCATTTTAATTAGAACTTGCGGGACGAAAAAGCAGTTTTCCGAATAGCTATCGCGTTTGCTCGCAATGGAACAAGAGCAAGGTCATCAAGTCACAAGTAGAGAGCTATAATTGCATGAATTGAAATTCGAACTACTGCCCTACCCACCGTAGTTTAGTCTCGAAAATAATCGAATAATCGATCTGTCAGCTGTAGCGTTAAAGAATGAAATCTTCAGTCTTTCAGTTCTGTCTGTTAAAATTTCGCATTCTATCTCAGGTTTTGGGATCGTAAACACTCAATGGCAGACTTAGACGATTTGAACGATATATGTATATGTATGTAAATGTATGTATAGGATGTGCTTGGATGTACAAATTAGTTTATTAAAAATAAGTTAAAAGTAAAAAATCAATGCTTTATTATTATGCTTAGGTAAGTTACACATACTTAAAAAACAATAAGGATTGGTTGTTGCAACTATTGAAAGGAAGCGAATGGCCAAAGAATCCATTTCCGAGTGTGCAAGGACAAAATATTATTGAAACCAAGATGTCGCTGTTAAAGAATATGTTTTACATCGATGATGCCCCATTTGATCAGGTAATTAAAACAATAACAATAAATAGAAAACGAAAACAAAAAAAAAGTCATTACTTGCGTGTATGTATAATATCTCAATTAGCTTTTAACCGACTCTTTGAAAATCGATTATGTGACATGGCTGCAAACACCACTGTCGTTAAATGTTGAACGGGCTTGGCTGCAATTGTCGCGACGCCGCGATTTTCAAGAGGATGCCAAACTCACGATGCCGGAAATAGCAATGGTGGCAAACATAACTAAAATTATGAAAAAACGTAAAAATTATGCAAAATAAGCAAATCAAGTAAAGCAAACACGCTCTCACACATACGCTCGCATACACACGCACACAAATCTAAAACGGCAAGAAATTGATTTTACTGAATATTATAAGAGGAAATAGAAAATGAAAAGCACATAAAAGTTAATGCCGAAGAATTTCATTTACAAACACACCCGCATTCCTGAATGTGAATGTGTTGAAGAAAAAAAGTATATAAAACAATTTTAAATAAATCATACGCATCATGGTCTAATGGTGCAAGTCACTTAAAATGAATCGTACTATTTGTTTTTATTAAAACATTAACACAACATAAACAATGAGAAATTACGTTCGAACCGAATCTGTTGATTCTACCATCTTATTATTGTTTTTATTTTTTAATTAGCGTTGAACGTAGTAAGTGCAACCGAATAGCGAAACGTATGAATTCTGTTTTCAATTAAAGAAGTACGATGTCGTATAAGAAATTTTATCTCTATTTTACTTTAGTCATGGCGTACCGGCACATTTACCTGAGTAACATCTGGACTATCTTCACTAACACAGCATAATAGAGTTGTTGCACAAGTGAAGTTAGCTCGTTAAAATTATTGCAAGCTCTGCGAACGAATCCATATTCATCTTTGATTTTGGTGCGTGGCGAGGATAAAAACTCTAGATGTAGTGATCCCGATACACGGATATTGCTAAATTTATTTTCCCATTCATGCGAGTTACTGCGGGAAGCTGCCGCGGTGGCGTTAAAAAACAGAGTATCTTTACAAATTTGTTTCTGATGGAAAGAAATTTGAAAGTCGAGGAAGTTATTAGGCGTAAATTCTAGTATTAAAACAGGTAAGAAAATTATAGTCGGGTAAGACCGACCATTCTCTACTCATACTCTACGGTACTTCGCCTAACATAGTTATTCACTCTTTTTGTTAATAAAACACCAAATATTACAAGTTATTTTTATGAAAAGGTATATTTCCTATGAAAGCCCGCATAATAAAGAATCCCCATATGAAGTGATCCAAATTTAAAAAACTTAATTTACTTCCCAAAAAATTTATTATTTTTCAGTTTCCATTATAAAAAGCTAGATATTGGACTTTTTTCATGTAATGGTTTGCTTTTCATGGTAATCCATCTACATGTGAGAGTCGAAAAAAAGACCCATGTAATCCACATGCCCGACTGTTAACTTTTTTGGTTCATTCGCTGCTTTGGAATAGTTTTCATCATAAAGTATTAAAAATTAAACCTTTTTCTGAAGTGCTTCATTAGAAATCTTATATGGAGTGGCGTCCAAGAAACAATTCTTAAATTTGGTGGATGTTATCCAAAAAAAAAAAAAAGAGACCTACATGGTCCAAATTCGGTAGAGTTGATTTCTTCGTAAATTTACTATTACTGTATAAAGGTGCAGTTTTTGTAGAAACAATTATATGAAAAGCGGTTTAAAAAATTGCCCCAACCGAACCGAATTTTTCGTACCAATTTAGAATGTCGAAATACTATTACTCATTGACTTTTGTCGAAATATTTTGAAAATTGCAATTTTTAACATGTGACGACCTTTCAAAATAAGATGTTATGTGGGGAGTGGTCGGAGAAGTGGAGCAATCAATACCAATTTCAATACCGTTCGTCCTTGGATCAAAGCATGTCAGGGTACTAGATATCATCAAAATATCTGAAATATTGCGACCTGTAAGTTGAACGCAAATTTTGTATGAACACATATTATACGGACAGACGACCAGAGAGACAAGCTGAAAATGATTTCGAATCGATCGGCATAACAAAAGGTGGGTCTACCTTAAGCCCTTCTGGGTGTTACATAAGTCCGTATAAATTTAATATATCCCGTACCACAATTGAAATATATGTAGGATATAAAGACAGAAAACTATTTTTTGCGATATATTTAAAAATATTAAAACCGGGATCATGTTCGCCCGGCGGCTATAAATTAAGCTGCAAGAGGCTCTGCGAGAATTTGCCTTAGAGGTGCAACTTTGCATCTAAAAAAAAAAAATATGCATATGCTCAGCTAGAGTAGCATGTATGATATTTAAAAAATATTGCATTTTTTTAGATTTTCCGAATATTTGAAAGCAATGTCTTGTTATAATAAATAATGTTTCAATTAAATTATCAAAAATTCGCGCCGCCCCTGTCGAAATTTGCGCCTTTTAGAATTTTAGCGTAAAAGTGTGAAAAGAATGAAAGCTGCTAGAGTTATACCGCTTGCCACTTCATTTAAAGGATCACATTTCAGGGAAAACCCGTTCGAAGTTCTAAAAAGTGTTGCGGAAATGTTTTCTACTATAATAAGTTTTTCATTAAATTTTTGTCATTTGTTTGAAGTCTTAGGACCATAAAAGTAGACTTCCATGTTAAAATATAAATTTTTTCCCACAAGGAGCCGCTTTCGCCATCACGTGCTGCACGTTTTGCACTTTGCGAATTACATGTTATGAAGAGGAAAAGAAAACAGTGGATAAATTTTAAATTTTATAATTCACAGTAACACCAAAGTTTTTATCAAGCATTTTTAACTTCTTAGCAGATATACTGGCTCCCTTCGAAACCTTCTCTATCTTACATCTATTCAACGTTTGTCATGATGCAGCTTCACTTACATACTTTTATTTGAAAATGTTTTTAAGTGGACTTGAAAGGAAATCTATTGGCGAATTGACTATTAGATAAGCTAAAAATCACTGCTACTGCGATTGTACTTTCCCCATAGGAACTCATTTGATAAATCCATACACTTTCATTTCTGAACGGTTGCAAATATTTTCAAAATTTCAATTAGAAAATCTTTTCCATTAATGAATTTTGTCCCCATTTTTTAGAAGACTCAAAGCACTCCTTAAACCTATAAAAAAAATGAAATAAAAAGGTATTCTAAAGTATTTATAGCAGTTTCCGCTTTTAAGTATAAAAGATCACCCAATATAAGGTCATAGGATGGCGCATGGGTGCAGGATGATTATTAAGAAAATGATTATGATTAAAATATTGACTTTTAATTTCTTGTGAAGGTTCATGTCGTCTTTAAATCGACGGATTCGGCGTTAGTGGCGCCATCTATATGTCATTCGTCGCGACTATTGAATGCTGCGTTATATGCAATTCGTAATATTTTCAATAAATAGAACTTTTTATGTTTTTCAACTGGCAATGAAAAAAATAATTTTAAGACCAAATTTGTTTTTTTAGACAGGCTTCTGAGATAGTAATTGTCATTTCAATCAATAGACTGAGGCACAGCCATGCAAATAGCGTTTATCAATTCGAGTATAGTGTTCACGTTAATATATAATACAGTCTTATATATTTTCTTTATGGCTGTGTATGCGTTGTGAATTTCGTAGCCATGTACGTAAATATATTCGCCGCAGTGTTTGAAAAGAGAGGATATGATGATGACTTATGAAAATATTTCAAAAACAGAAGTACAATAATAAATAAATAAATAAAAACGCTTTAATATTAAAGATTTATTTTGTTTCTTTTGTTACTAAAATTTTTATTTTGTAAACATTTTTTACTTTCCAAATAAGCATTTGGGGGAAACTTTTATTAATCATTAGTCTAGAAGCGATTATCCTTAGATCGTTTCTGACAAACTGCGCTATGCTATAACTTCAATAAAAATGCACATGCACTTTAAACTATAATTGTTATGCTTTTGTTTTTTCCCTTTTATTGTTCTAACTAAAACCCAAGCAAAACAATCCTTAAGTGTCAGTGCAATATATACACGTTTATATGCACATACACTACGAAAAACTATATATATGTACACATATACATTTGTATATTCATCCGTTTTTTATTTTTCCTGATACCCTGGCGTGTTGAAATGTTAAATAGTGTTAGCGTTTTCAACACAGAATCAAAAAACAAAAAATATATATGTTTACTTTTTTTTTTCACGTCATATAGACACTAGCGATCGTAAAAACGCATATAAATACAAACAGACCTAATGGCACACATACACGTACTTATCGTACACATTCAACTATGTAGACAACTATCCAACGAAAACAAAAACTCGAATGCTTGCACGCCAGAAAGTAAAGATGAAAAGAAAACAAAACCAGCAAAATAGAAAAAACAAGAAAGAAAACAAAACGACACTTCGTCGCTGAATGTTCTATAGCCAAAGGTACGAAAACATTTGACTTTTGCCTTTAGACCAAAGCAGACGTGTTTACAATAATTTTTATCTCCTTTTTTTTGTTTTTTAAGTGAAGAAAACAAATTTTCGTTTTAAATTTGCGAAGGAATAAGGAAGAAAATAATATATATTTATATAAATGCGTAAAGAACTCGGTAGAATATATAAAATAATAATCAACCGTAATAAATAGCAATCATACGTCATGGTTTACAAAGCCAAACAAAATGAATATCTATTAAAACAAAAAAATATTAATGAATTAAATAAGAAGGAGAAAATAATAATAATTTTACAAATAAAAAATAATTGAGAAACATTTATACAAAAAAAGATAAAATTTAAATTATACATACGTTTATACTACATAAAAAAACTAAATTAAATGAAGTGAATTTAAAAAGTATTTAATAAAATAAAAAAAATTAAAAATTACATATAAATTAAAAATTAAATAAAATTAATTAAAGTGTTACATTTTGCACTTTTGAACCTGAAACAACGAAATGAAACTTATACTCGATCTAAACTGAATATTTTATCCACCACTAGACTCGTCATATTGATTAAAATCTTAACACATCTTAACGCTTAACACATAAACAATTTGATGTACGACTTCTTATGCATTTGCAACACTTTATCATATAACTTGCCGAAGTAGCTAAACGATCCGCTTTTATAATAATTGTAGTATTTTTGCAATTGATTCAAGTTAAATCCCCTTTGGGAACCTCATATAAGAATTTCAACAGAAATGCAATCTTTATGCTTCGAGAAAGACAAAAAGTTATAGATTCCGATTTCGCTGTTAACCGGGGCCAAAGTCTTAAATTCTTCTTCAAGATTAAGCAAATAAGGAAATGATCATGACTTCAACAGATAGAGGAACAAATCAGTCAAAGATTTGTATGCGAAATACTTTTTCACACGTCTTACAAACTTTACAAGCGCGACATGCACTGCGCGGCCTTCCCAGAATGGAGCACGTATTTAAAACTGTTTTGAAATTTCTTTTTCCTAAGAACATTTTCCCAAAGTGTTAAACTGACTGATGAAGGTTTCAGCAAAATTTTAAATTATCATTTCCTACGGGTCGTAAGTTATTGATAATTTAACTTTAAGAGAGTAGTCGAAAAAATAGACTTTTCAACAAATTTTTCTGAATGGAAGATAAGGTAGCGGAATAACAATATTCGAGAAGACATTTAATTAAGCATTAAAACAAATTTTTTCTAAAAAATGTAATAAAAAGAAAAAGCGGAACCATTTTCGCGTGGCACTATCAGTGTTATGGGCTCCGCGGTAGGCAGCGCAACTGGTGCAAATTTAAGTAAGAAAAAAAAATTATGTAATCTAATTCCTATTACTAATGAGATACATAAGGGGGCTTTCCAAAAGTATTAACTTTTGCACAATTGACGCGTATTGGAATGAAAATGTTCAACTTTCGATCAAAAGAAAGCGTTTTTTTCATGATGCTTATTATGATTATATTTAATTTAACTAGAGGAACGGATTATAAAACTAGAAGCCTTAAAACGCTAGCATCTAAGGCTATCGACTTTATTGAAACCGCCTGAAATTTGAATCCACGACTATTGACTTGTTAATAATAATAATAATAATAATTAATAAAATTATGTTAAAAAAAACCAAAGTTTTTGATTATTAGAATTAAGCCACTCCCACAATTCTGTTTTTGAGCCATTCCTGAATTTTTAGGGGGTCATTTAAAGCAATGAAAATATTTGACTTTTTGAAAAATTTGCTGTGGTCGATAAGAAGGTATAGGCAATTTTTTGCCGCTATTCTTAAATTATTTCTTGCTCGCGAAAATAAGCTAGTAATACACATATACATTTTATGCGATCTTCGGAACTTGCTTCTTGAACGGGGAAATGATGAGGAAACAGAAAATATATGATAGCAAATGATGCCCAGAAGTCCTGCCAAATACTGATATGTAAAGTGTGCAATTACCTGTGGATCCGGCGGAGATTTGGTCGTATACGTTTTTGTACTGAATTTTTTTTAATGAGTCAGTTAAGGATTCTTACCTGAATTCGATTTTTTGCCATGTTTTTAGGTCACAAGTTATTGACTATAAAATGTATGAAAATTTTTTTTCTTCTTTTTTTCTCAGCCTTGTTTTCAGCTCAATTTTACGTATAGTTGTGATCCCATTTTCACTCTCGTATTTTCCCACCTAAATTAAATTCCAGTTCTACGCTTCAATTTGTGCGACTAAAAAAGTCTCAGAGGAGACATCAAAGCTATGGATGAACATAACTACATCTAGCTCACAGTAATATACAATTTAAGAATATATGTAAAGATATACAAATAATTTATGAAGCTACGGAACGGTACTTCTGCATGATACCAATGAAGTGAGAAAAATAATATATCGACACATTCGATAGTGTAAAAACGAAATTTAAATGACTATTTAAGTGCATTCGTTTTAAATTACAACAAAACTTTTTCAAAAACAAACAAAAACAATTTCCTTTGCCTTGGCATCTAAAACATGCTAGGTTTGCCAATAAAATGTAAGCAATGCCTGAATTCTGGAAAGGATAAAAAAATACAGAAAATATAAAATAATAATAATGCAAGAAATATCCCACAATGATTTATATGACAAGCACGCATAACGTTGCAGTAATGATGGTGGTGGTGATAGTGATGGTTGTGGCTTAAGTGACACACGCTCTATTACAATCAACAAACTCTTCGAATGGAACCGTTGTCTACACTATCCTTTTTTTTGGTTTTGCTTCATATGTGCGTATGTGTATATGTGTTTATGCACACATATACATGTAATATTTATGTATTTATTTACGATAAAAGCTTGTCAGCATTCATACACAACGCGAGCGTATATAAATTAAGCTTTTAAAAATTGGATTAGTGGTTGCAGTCGGTCTTAAGGGATCTTAAGGGATCAACGACAGTGACATTAGCGGCAATAAAAACAGCAGCAATTGCAACTCTTATCTAAAAATCAACAGTAACAAGAAAAAACAAAAGACAAAAGAAAAAAAGACTAAACAATTGAAACAAATTGTCTTTGACAAGTTCGTAGCCATTAGATGAAGAGCCAACAGCTCGCTTGTGTGTTTGAATGTATGTGGGCACATGAACTGCTATTTGGTTATTTTATGTACATTTAATGGCTCTCTTATTCGCTTATTGTGAGGTCAATGGTGTACATATTTTCAAAATAAACTTGAAATCGTTTCCGCTAAAATTCAATCACACTAGTGAAGAGAAGACAGCCTACAATTTTATATAAACACATAACATATACAATTCCGGCGTGGATACCATAATTTTTTCTTCTTTCATATATATATACATATATATATATACATATATTTGGCATAATGTCACAATTCTATAGAAATCGTCGTCGTCGCCAGTCTGGTGAACCCTGCGATTGTCTACGTCCTCTTATAAGAGCATTTGGTTTTATCACCGCCATCGGTAAGTTTCAATTTAGTCAACATAAGCGTAAAGCAAATTTCAAATAAGTAAGAAACCTTTCTGTATAACTATTATTGTATCGAATTGGAGACACCCTCCACCTCAAGTAACTTATCATGAGTGCAGGCTTAGCGAATTGATCGCAAGCACTTGCTCTCACATTACTTTTATATTATAAATAAGAAACTGGTTTACTCCTATGCTCGTGTACATTGTAATTTCATGCGTAAACAAAATTTAATTACCTAAGCACTGTTAACTTAGATGTATCGGAAAGTTCTGTTCGTTCCGGTTGCAACAAACTTCAAAGAGGTATTTCACGCATATCTGGATTGTCTTTTTTATAACTGAATGTACATATACTGACGTAGCAAATGCATAACAATAAAGGTGATTCATGTTAGTATTAAGCGAGAAGTGATGCTATACGCCCGGCTACTGACAAAGTTCATTTACTTCCCTGTATTCTATACAAATTCCAATAAAGACAAAATGGTGTGAAAGTGTTTAGGAAAGGCGCAGGTTCTGATAGAGCACGCAAAAGATGATTCGAAAAATTTCAATTAGGTGATTTCGACCTTTCCGATAAGCCACGCTCCGAGTGACCATCAATCGAAGGCGACACTGTCAAGGTGATGCTAGAAAACAATTCTTCCTTCACAGCATATTGATTCAACAGTTCAATTAACTATTTCAAAACATATGCGCAAGCCAAGATTTTGTGTTATTCTTAAAACGGACAGAACTTTCCGGTAGATCTCTTATATATATCTGTAGTTGTAATAATCTGTTCTATTAATAGTTAGTATGAGATACCGTGTATTATAAACTATGATTTAAATAATTTAAAAATAAATCATTTGAACAAATCTTTTATATATGTATTTGTATCTATTGCTTATAAGATTTTTTAAAAATTTTACACACAGACACTATTCAAAAATTATTCCGACAAAAAGTCACCTAACAATTCAATCTATTAACAAGAAATGTACATAAGAAGTAGAGATCGTTTTTTTTTTCATTGATTTGAAAAAAGTACAGTTCAAGTTTTATTGCGATTAAGCAATCCTAATAACAATAGATGCTTTCTTGTATACCAATGGAACTTATTAAAAAACTCTGCTTGAATCTCTAATTAATAGTATTTGCTTTAAAAGGAATTATGCAGCATCCGTAACTAATTTTAAAAGTTACTTCAATCCATTCTAATTAAACTGATATATGGTTATTGCTTTAAGTTTTTATAGAAATAAGAAAATGCGTACGCAACGTAGATGCATTCCTCAGCAAAAGGATATTTTGAACGTATAAGATGTCGAACTGATGATCCGTTCAGTACTCAAGAATGGATTTTTGAAGAGCAAACTTTCGATAACGAAAGATATACAGAATCAATACACTCAAGAGATTTGTTTTGAGGATAAAAGAACGATTACAACGCAAAAGGATGTCGGTTATCAAAACAAATTTGAAAAATAACGAACGTAACTTTTGACGCTAAACATGTCTTCGTTAGACTTATATTGTGTTCATAAATGCTGTTAGAACAACTTCAGCATACGTACAATATTATATATATGATATATACAATAATATATAAATTGAAAAAAAATGCAAATGTATCGGAGTATAAGTGCAAAATTGAAACGGGTTAAATCGGACAAAGTCTAAAATATAACTAAAACTCAACTTATGGCACATTTTCTATTAGAAACAATTAATGAAACTTTGTTTTTACTTAGCATAGTAAATGATCTGTTTTTCGTTTACTGAATTCTGACAGGAGGAAAAGAATATACTGAGAATAATATTTATTCTTATAATTCTGGTTGTTACGCTTACAAATGTAATTTGAACGTGGAATACTATAGAACAACTAAAGATTCTTATGTAGTGTAGTGATTTCGGTCAGGAGGTTCGTCATACAAGTTTGCCGATCATTGATAGTGTGCCGTTTTTCGAAAGTTGCATAATATTATTTATTATTTATTTATTTATTGTATTATTTTATTTATTATTTTATTTATTTATTTATCGTGCGTACTTATTAGTTCTTCGATTGAAAGCAAGTTTGCTGCTATTTTTTTCAAATTTCATGCAAATATCTTTAATAGTGAATGAAATAGTCTTGTTAACGGTCGTCTGAAAAAGGACATTTCCGATTGATCTTATTGTTTTCTTATTGTTTGAATGAAAAGAATGTCATCAGAATGCTTTTTTAGAGTTTCGAGAAAAGCTCGAAGCCACACACGCAGATAAAGCTAAATCAGACAAATACAACGATTCAAGTTCCGCTAACGGAAGAATGTTTACCACAAATACTATACAACTGAGCAGACAGGTAGATGGACAGACGAGCATGTCTAGTTGCATTCCAAATTTGAAACTGGCCACGAATTTGTATACTGTATGTGGTTTTTGAAGTTTGTTTCTGCGCGTTATAGAGGTATTGAAAATCAAATAAATTATAATACACTATTACATTGATAAGAAGTGGTCAATTTTTTCCATTTTTGTGCAGATGTTACAGCACCGCTCATGGAATATGCGTTCAAATTTTTGTACATTAATTTGCTATATTGTATGAGCAATGAGCAAAAAACCAATTTTTTGTTGCTTTTGAAAAACAAAAAAGTGTTTTCAATTTACTGTGGTACTGTGGGCGTGCTGCTTTGGGCGTGGTGGCCAAGAGAATGTTTATAACACTCATTTGGCAGACGGACGAACGAGCAGATGGACACACACACAGATGTACAGATAAAAATCGATTTAGAATTTGATGCTAATCAAGAATATAAATACTTTCTGCTGGGCACAAGGAATATGGCAGACAGACGGACAGACAGATAGATAAGCTTAGATGGATTCTGGAAATAATTGAATCGGTCAGTATTATAAAAGGTGGATCTATCTTAAGCCCTTCTGCGTGTTACATCACGGCCGCACAAACTTGATATACCCTGTGCCGCAAGTGCTGTAGGGTATAAAAAGTGAAACAAATTATTAAACCAAAATTATAAGGAATAAATAAATGAATATATAAGTTTGGGGAAAAAGAAATCCATTATTTTTATATGAACTTCAGGACTTTATTTAACATGCTTCGAATTGTCCGATTTGGGTCAAATATGCACCGTTTTGTTGTACGATTTGTTGCCATTTAAAAGGTAACTTCAAAATGCCTCTCTCATAGAAGTCCTGATCTCTATTTGCAAAAAACTCTAGTAGTCGATTTTCACAATCCTCCCTAGATTCCAATTTTTTATCATTAAAGAAATTTTGCAATGGAAGAAAAAGATGATAATCGCTTGGTGCCAAGTCCGGACTGTATGGCGGATGCATTAAAACTTCCCAACCAAGCTCCCGAAGTTTCTGGCGAGTCACTGTAGATGTGTGTGGCCTAGCGTTGTCCTGGTGGAACACGACACCTCTCCTGTTGGCCAATTCTGGCCGTTTCTGGTCAATCGCTAACTTCAAACGGTCCAGTTGTTGACAGTAGCGATCAGAATTTAGCGTTTGGCCATATGGAAGCAACTCATAATAAATAATCCCCTTCCAGTCCCACCAAATGCATAGCAAAACCTTCCTGGACGTTTGAGGTGCTTCACCGCTCTTTGACCATGATCGTTTTCGCACAGGGTTATCGTATGTGATCCATTTCTCATCTCCAGTCACCATCCGTTTAAGAAATGGGTCTATCTCATTCCGTTTGGCCAAGGCTTCGCAGATGGAAATTCGATCCATCATGTTTTTTTCTGTTAATTGGTGTGGCACCCAAACATCGAGCTTCTTTTTGAATCCAGCTTTGTGTAAATGGTTTAAAACTATTTCATGGTCGATTTTTAGCTCCTGGGCGATGTTACGACTGCTAACATGCCGGTCAACTTCGATCATTTCTCCGATTTTATCGACATTTTCGACGACCGGCCTACCTGTGCGAGGTGCATCTTTAACATCAAAAATTCCTGAACGGAATCTACGAAACCAAAATTGCACATAATTGGCTGTTACAGTATCGGAACCATAAACACCATTCACAATTTTAGCCGCCTGGCTTGCATTTTCGCCTTTGTCAAAGAAAAACTGTAAAATGTACCGAATTTTCTCTTTGTTCACTTCCATTTTTAACACGCTGTAACTTACAACTGAATGCACCAAACACAAAACAGCAAAAGAATTTTTTTTACTGCGAAGTGTCACCTTTCCAACGAGCATAAATCTGAAATTGTTTGATCGATACTTTACGAGATATCTATCAGTGCAGCCATCTACCGAAAAAATAATGGATTTCTTTTTCCCCAAACTAATATATGTATATATGCACATAATATATTAAAAGCTTATTTTCGATCCTATCCGATTACTTCAATCTACATTGACATGCTGTCGAGCGAAAAAGTTGAAGTTTTTCGCAATAAAATCCTCAACGTAAAGTCCAGTAAGTATTATCTGTGTTCGTTGCAATCATCATCTGTGACAAACCAAGTTTTTGTTACTTCCACAGTTTTATCAGAAATTGAGTTTCTAACTGCACTTAATTTATATTTCTTTGCATAGGGTCCTCGAGATATTTCAAAAAGTTCATTCCTTCTTTCTACTTTAAATTCAAGATAGAATTAAAAAAAAACCTAAACTTTCCCTTTACTAGTATCATTCGCAGTTCTGAAGTTTTTAACACAAGAACTACCGAGTATATCATTTTGCTCCATTTTAATTTTCGATTTTCATAAAAATAATGTATGTAAGCAGATCACAGCTGCTTCAGATCGCCTGAACACTCATAAGTTAATGAACTTTATAAATTACAATATCTTGGCGTTTTTACTGAATCCAGAATTCAATAGAAGTCAAAAGAGGTCGTTATCCCTATTAGTTCGCAAAAATAAAAAAATTGCGCAGACAATTGGAAAAATTTGGCATTTAGCCGAAGTAGTTAAATCGATTAAAGCATTAAGATCCGTTTCATGAATTTTAGTTACGTGACGTCCATCCAGATA